GAATCTCTAAAGTTGTCTGCAATTAGACCATGTTATAAGAATAAAGGCTAAATGTTAAACATGTGGAAACATGTTAGATAACTACAGATCCATCAGCCTACTACCGGCTTTCTCAAAGTTATTTGAAGTTAAACGGTTAAAGAATTTTATGATGAAGTCTGATATTCTTTCGCGAAGCCAACATGGGTACATCTCGAGGCCGGCGACATGGCTCTAGGAATAATCTTGGATCTTTCAAAGGCGTTTGACTGTCTGAATCGAAATTTACTGCTGAAAAAACTGGAAATTTGTCGGATCAGGGGGCGCGCTCTTGAGTGGTTTCGCTCATATTTAAATAAGAAAACCCAAAGGGTGACTATACGCCAGGACGGTATGTCCTACAAATCAAAATTTTCGCAAAACACAGTAGATGTGGCACAGGGGAGTATGCTTGGACCTATTTTGTTTATAGTCTTTATGAATGACATTAACAGCGAATACCTTATCCCAAATTTTCTGCTAACGGAGTATGCAGATGATACAAACCTGCTAGTAGGAGGAAAAACAATCCCTAAACTCGTGGGAAATGCCACTACTTTGTTTACATCGACAGAAAGATGGTTTGGAAAAAATGCGTTATGCTTAAATAAAGAAAAAACAAACATATTACTGTTTAGAACCAAATTAAATAAAAATCAGAAACCAGACACCATTGTTGTTGAAGGGCTACAAATTGCAGTAGGTAGTAGCACAAAGTTTTTGGGGATTTATATCGATGAATTTTTAGACTGGTCTTGCCATATTGATTACCTTAGTAAGAAACTACTGTACATTTTTGAGGCAATATTATGTGTTTTGAAGAGTATATATTTACACGATAACAACGTTAACCAGGATCATAGCACCAGCACGGGAAACATTTTGTATCCAACACACAGAACAACACTGTCTGAAAAGAGTCCGTACTGTATGGGCATAAAATTCTTTAATAAACTAGAAAACAACATTAAGAAAGTAAGAATTGAAAAATTGTTTAAGAATAAATTAAAACAGATATTAATTGAGTTAGAGCCTTATAGTATTAGAGACTATTTAAATATGTAATAACAGTACCTTTTAGTATAATATGTCTTTTGTCAATTGTTTTTTAACGCCATTTCATTTTGTATTCTTTATACATGTGCATGTATCAATCGAATATAATTTAAAATAAAGAAATAAATAAAAAAAATACATATTAGTTATAAGATTTAAAAAAGCACAGTCTATTTCACTTTTCAGATAACTAAAGCAAACATCGGATTTTACATACCTTAACTTCTTCACTGCATGTCTGTTTAATACTTCCCACTTGCACGTAATGTGCGTGACCCAAAGGGAGAATTTTTCGTAAGTTCTGTTCGCCATCGGGAAAGTTTTTTGGATTATGAATTGTAACCTTAAAAATAAAGTATTGCAAAATTAACTTTCTATTAACATAGCTTATTTTAATTAATGTTCAAAAAGGTGCAAGTGCGTACTACATTTGTTCACTCAATGCTAAATTTAAAACACATATTAATTGTTATTATTTTATAGTATAGAATATTGCCTCAAAATAATGTATCTCTGAGCGGGAATTGAAGAAGTTTCAGTTTGGACGAAACGCATCCGAAGGACGACCGGCCCACAGACTACACACTATTATAGGTATACACATGACCGGCCTACGTCTAAGCAAGAGAACGAAGAGTGGGGAGGAGCAGACATAACGGCGCTGTAACGCATTCCATTGGATTTACACCGGATCATAAGAAGTTATCACCAATAAGGCAATAAGTACTGGACGTTCAAATCCCTACCTTGTTAACGTTAACCAAATCTTACTTGCTGCTGCATATCAGACGGAGAAGATGATATCAGTTCAATAGGAAGTTAAAGTCCGGTATTTGGGTGCTGTTGTAGATACGCAGCTGACCCGGAGGAAACATGACAGCCATCAGCAAGGCGCGGGCCGCGGCCAGCCAGCTGTACCCACTTCTGAGACGAAGAGGTCAGAAGAGCGTTAGGAATAAACTCCTCCTTATCAAGATCATTATCAGGCCGGCAATGTCGTATGCCTCCACAATCTGGGTATATACGACAGATAGTTACCTGAAGGTCACAGAAAATAGCAGATGGCCATAGACGCGCTTTTGTTTGTACGTAACAGTCCAATTCACAGGGACTGGGAGTGGGAGCCCTTACAAGATTTTCTTCAAAGGAAAGCAGCATCGACCTACAAAACGGCTTCAAACTACCCCTTCCCTGAAGTACGAAGAGCCGTAGATTATGCGCCAAGTAACGAAGGACCCAGGAAGAAAAGTCCCATGCAGCAGATGGCCAAATATGGCAACAGATGCAAGCAGCAAACTGCTGTAAGAAAACGTATAGTGAAAATGCTGTGTAATATTAGGGGCTTGTTTAGAATTAGTAAGGTGCGAATAATCAGGGCAGTCTTTAAACTCTTTGGGGTTTCGGGCCATGTAAATATCGTCTTCTTTTGATGCAAATAATATAGCAATATCCTTTTGACCATGTGCTTACGGGACACCCTGTATATAGTAGGAATAATCCATGATTTTTAGACAATCAATTGACTATTACTGCAAATATTTTATTGATTTAAATATTCTAGAACTTTCGAAATGGTTTATTAGCAGTCTGAAAAATATAAAATATCAAGATTAGTAAGCTTTCATTTAGTCATATTCTAACTCTGAATGAACGCAGAAGTACCATGTATGATAACAATAATAAGTACATAACAGAAGTACCATGTAATATAACAATAAGTAAGGCTGAATTACTTATTTTTACTAAATTCCTATTGAATCAGATCTGCTCAAAACTGTCAAACAAAATTTTGCCACTGAAAAGTCCAGTCAAAAACTACAATTTATAATTTATTGAAAACATGTATAGTTAATAAACAATACATTTTGCGGAATTTTAAAAGTTAATTTTAGTCTTTTTTACATATTTTTATTTTCGTTGACACAACATAATTTTTTATGAGTGTGTCCCAGAGGCCTTTTGGCCCCAGGTGTCGCTGGCCAGTCCGTAACCGGAGCTAAACTAGGTCCCGTATAATGGGGAACTTGAACATTTTTTTTTATTTCCTTAATATATTTGCCGATCTTAATATATTAATATATTCTCCGATATCGAAAGTTGTGACCGCAGGCTATTCATTTGAAACGACACTAAACGCGCGAGAATGGTCGTGACGTCATAGCGCTGGTTATCGATGGAAAGGCAATACGGGAATACGGCTTGTTGTTGAATTGTCTGGGTGTTTGACTGTTCAGAATTCGTGATGTGCTTTATTAGTTACGGAAGTAACGCAAAAACAATATTACAAATGCTGTATGGTGCCACTGTGTCCTAGTACAACTTTTAAAACACCAGATAAGCTATTTATTCGTGTACCACAAGATAAAAGCCGGCGTTTAAAATGGTTAAAGGTATATAAGGATATTTCTGAGAAGACTACTCCCCATGGATGTGAAGATCATTTTAATGTAAGTATAAAAAACAAATTGGATTGTGTCTATTGTATAACAGATAAATACTTTGAATTTGTATTTTGTTTGCTTCCGGGCTGCATTATAGTAGTAAATAATCACCTCAAAAATTGTTAATTGCTATACTAGACGATAAAAAGAAACAATAAGTATCTGCGAAGGGAAAGACTCGTTTGGTCGTCGTGCACTTACGTTAAATATCTACTAATTTTGTCATGCAATATGAATGTTAACACATATTTTTATGTAACTTTAATATTGTTGATTTATTCTAGCCGGAAGAAGATATGGATAACTATGTTAAATTCAAGTTAATGGGAGGTCTGAAAAAAATGAAGGCTTACATTAGCGTTCACTTTTTACTACAATTTTACAAAATACCTTCTCGATCTGTAAATAACATTTTTTAACTTAGTACATACTTTTGTACTTAACATTGTTATTCTCTAACTGTTGCATGTCTTTTGATGTCATTTAGTTTATACTAGCATTAATACAATACTTTCTTATTTTTTGTTCAATCACTTACATTTTGATCGATGGATCCTGTTTGAATTTTGAAAATTAGAGCCAGTAAACCCCCAATCTAACATTTTATCGATTTACATAAGTGGAACTATTGACAATTTCGTCTCTAAATCTACCTATTAGCTTTAACACCGCCAACTTCAGCAATAGTAAAACTTTCGGAGTTTTTAATGTAAGATGCCACCATAAACATATCAACGAGGGGTAAAATATCAGATTGTCCTTTTACAAAACCTGAGTCAGTCAGTCTTTTTCTAATAATACACTACAAAACATTTTAACAACAATATCAAGGCTGAAGTTGCATATTTACATGCTCCGCATTGCAGCCGCCGCGGCCGACGAGCCCCTTGACGTCACAACTGGTCCCAGCCGATGACGGCGCGTTACAAGAATGATTTGAATTATAAAGTTTTTAATTGCTTATATTAATTACATAGAAATAAAAAAATAGTTTTTTGGTCAACTGAGGTGTTTTTAATAGTATTAAGTTACGTTCGCCAGTAATATTTTTTAAATTTAATTCTTATGCAAGTTTTTCATTGTGGATGGTGCGCTCCATAGGTTGTCACGCTCTCGGAGAGAATATGGCACAAGGAAAAGAAGTGTGAATAGAATGTGATGTAAGGGCATAGGAATGCCGGAACTGGCCGATTCCTACAACGACCACGTGTTTAAAGTAACTCTCCGAAAACTTGAAGTCAAAACATGGGGGGTTTTTTTTGAGAGAAATCGAACACTAGAACACTACCTTATGCCCATACCAACCGGAATAAAGAAGGCTAGCCTGCTCTGAAGTCACTAGGACCAATTCGCTGTTAAGTAGGCCGAGCAGCTCATTTATACTACGTGGTTGCAGTTTGGTAGTGGTTTATTAAGTTTGTAATCAATTGCAGGCTCTAAAATTAGGCTCCAAACTGTATTTTGTACTTCTGTAAGTAAAGTAGCTATATATTGGAAACATGCCTTATAAGTGTTGTGTGCTCGGTTGCAAAGGAAATTATAGTGGTGGATCGACAATGAGTGGGTTCAATTTTATAAAAGACGATAGATAGGTGAAACAATAGCGGTGAGCAATACCTCGAGACAATTTTCAGCCCTTGAAAGTCTGCAGAATTTGTCATCAGAATTTGACACAAGATACTATAATAGGAGTAAGTACTTCCTTTAACAAAAAACTTGTAAAACATTGTATGTTCCTTTACAACATCCAAAGTTGCAACCAGGTTTATTTGATCAGCATAATTTGCTCACAGCATTTCCTCCTGTACTTATGTGATATGCATCGTAATATAAACTCGGTAAAAATTGTCATAAGTTCTGTCACCAATTAGCTCCCGGAGAAATCCTTGTGAGTTTTGATGTTTCGTTGTTCACAATGGTACCAATTAAGGAGGCAATGGAAATTATTGAGAGAGAATTTCCCCCAGGCATCGCCAAACTCTTCGAACACTGCTTAACCTACTTTCGGTGAAAAACCGAATTCTATGAACAGGAGGATGGAGTAGCAATGGGCAGCCCCCTTAGTCCAGTGATAGCCAACTACTTTATGGAGAAATTTGAGATGGACGCTCTGGACACAGCCGCGAGGAAACCTGTGTTGGTTTAGATATGTTGATGCCACTTTCGATGTTTGGGGTCATGGTTTGGTTGAACTTAAAGACTTCCTGAGGCACCTCAACTCAATCAACCCAAAAATACAGTTCACTATAGAAGTGGAGAAGAATGGGTGTCTGCCATTTTTAGATGTCTTGGTGACCAGAAAACCCAACGGAAATCCGGCCCACACGGTGTACAGAAAACCGACACATACCGACCGGTACTTGTACAGTGGATCAAACCATCATCCTCGTCAAAAGAGAGGAGTCATTAAAATTCTCACCGAAAGAGCCAGAAGAATTTGCGAACTATCTGAGTTAGATAGAGTATTGAAACACCCAGAAAGGACCTTAGGTTGGAATGGATACACCAAGAACGAGTTTAATAGAGCAATTCGACCAAGAAGCAGTGGAGGTCGTCCTGAGAAAACAGATACGCATGATGAGCGTAAGGGTTGGGCTTGCCTCCCATACATACATGGAGTCACGGACAGGATCGGCAAGATACTGGAGAAACACAAAGTCAAAACAGTTTTTAAACCAACTCGAACAATCCAACAGACGTTGAGAACCGCCAAGAACAAACGGGATCCTTTATCAGCACCAGGAGTCTACACAGTTCCATGTAGTTGTGGCAGAGCATACATCGGCACCACAAAACGTAGTGTAAACACTAGGATCGCTGAGCATAAAATAAGTTTCAGATTAGGACAAACAGAATCAGCAGTAGCGGACCACGCACTTCTAGGCGGCCACCAAATACGTTTCGATAAAGTGGATATTTTGCACCAATCTCAACGGTATTACCCGAGACTAACCAGAGAGGGCATTGAGATCTTTAAACATGACAACAATTTTAATAGGAAAGAAGAGGTAACGGCCCTTAATCCAGATCGGAAACGCATTTTGCGGCAAACAGAAAAAAACTAAAAAAAACTAACCGAAACCATTGAAGCCCCGCCCACTCCTCACGCATGAGCTCACACCGCCGGGCCGCATAAATCCGACAGGGGATGGCACAAGCACACTTGCCGCCCGGCTAACAACGAGAATCCAACAAGTTTTAAATCGCCGGAAAAGTCTAGGAGCTGTCTTCCTGGACATATCTAAGGCATTTGACAAGGTTTGGCACCAGGCCCTGATTGCCAAGATGATTAAAGTAGGCTTTCCAGGGAACCAAACCAAGCTCATCAGCAGTTACTTGTCTGGACGCAGTTTCCAAGTCACAGCAGACTGCTACATCTACGCTGACGATGTTGCCTTCACTACCGTCGGGAAGGGTCCTGCCATCCAAGCCAAACTGCAGAGACAGCTCAAGAAGGTCGTTAAATGGAGCAAGGACTGGAAAATGGAGTTCAATCCTGAAAAATCACAAGCCATCATATTTACAAGAGGCAGGAAGAATCCACCCAGAGGCCTACTAGAGCTTGCAGGAAAGGGGCTACCATGGAGGTCGAAGATAACCTATCTTGGACTTACATATGACAAGCGTCTAGTATGGCACGACCAAATGGCAAACACCATCGCCAAGGCAAGATTCCTGCTCCATGCCTGCTGTCCCTGCTGTCAGGTAAACTCTGCCTACGAACTAAGGCCAGAGTTTACAAGCAATTGATACGCCCGGTGCTGACCTATGGATCTCCTGCGTGGTCCATAGCCAGCACCACGCAAAAGCAGAAACTGGCAGTATTCCAGAATAAAATACCGAGGATAGTGACAAAGGCCCCATACTTCGTCAGAAATACCACCCTGCGAAGAGACCTGGATACAGAGGACTTGCTGGACCACATCCGGAACCTGGATAGGATCCGGCATAGCAAGAATCCCCACCGTCAGGGTTTCTTGCACCAAGAAGTTCAACTGTGACCGCAGACCTCTCCCTGCGGACACAGTCTAAGAAGCAGACGTGGACCACAAGCGATGACCAGTTCCTGCACCACAACGAGGACCATGGGCTAGATTTAAGTTAGCTTAGGAAGCATTAGAGGATGTGTTAAGGTTTAGGTTTAGGTTAGAATTAGTTAGATGAAGTCATAAGATGTAATTTTAAATAACAAGATGTTAGCATTAAGGATCCGTAGAATAMGTAGCAGTAAGAAGTATGTAAAACTTGTCTGAAATAAATATGTTYAAAAGCAGTAGTTGAACCAGTCTTAGTCGGAAAGCACGGGAGATCACTTCGCCCACTGCCTCATCGCCTTTGATAATGTCCACTGCAGTTGTGGACAAAACGTCAGGAAGAAATTCCCATTGACCACGGCTTCAAAGCTCGACAACCAATTCTAAATGTGTTTTTAAGGTTGTTTCAGTAAAACCGTGATCACTTTTAAATAGCGATCGTACAAGGCGAGAAATATGTTCGTCAATAGCTGAATTGACCCAAGTTAGCATGTTACATTAAAAATACACGACATCGGGAAGTGCTCTCCTTGTGTAAAATTAACTCGCTAACAAAATTTTAGTAAGTAATACGTACTATAATTCCGGCGATTGCTCGGTGATTATATTCTGGATGCAGTGTAATTCTTAAACCAGTAGACATTCCATAGTAAAGGGTATATTTAATTGTCATATCGTTACTGGAAGCATAGTTAAAAGCACAACACCTTCCATCTTCTGTTAACAATCCGCTAAAAAGGTCCTGGCAAGGCACTTCCACTCGGTTCCATTCACATCTTGAAAAAATGAAAGGAAATTGTTGTTTGAAAAATCCAACTAAACGTTACAAAACTAATAATTAATTTATACCTATATGTGTAATATGAAACTTAAGGGTTTCGCATACAGTGATTCAAAATCGGCGTCATTCCTTTGAAGGGGTTATAAGGGGCTCACGTGGAGAGTACGAAAAAAATTATAAACATTWTCTTTCGAAAATTTGAAGATCTAATTTAAACTTTGTTACCAAGTAYTTTTTWRAAATATTTGATWGGTAGCTAATTGGAGTGCTTAAGCATTYGAAATGAAAAATCATGATCTTTACTTCAAATTATGAAAATTTTTAATATTAGAAAGGTACTCTTCTACAATTWATTAATGAAAATTTAAAGCGACMATGATGATTTTTGYTCAGATAGTTAGTTACAGAWAAAAAATAAAAAMATATTTTGTCAAGAATAACAARCATTTGTCAAATTGTMTCTGTCTCACTTTGAAGCTTCTGTCTCAAAATGCGCAATAATGCCGAAGATGYTATTATTTATAGGAGAATGCCACAGTAACATAGRGAAAGCTRTACGAACTTACRACAGCAAAGGGCTATGAACACGGGACTATTGGCTYCARGGATTGAGGCAGATAGTGGACGTTCTTGAGATGCTCGGGTTCCAGACATAGAGGAACAAKTATTGGARATAATTGCAGCAGAGTCWTCCAGCAATACTCGGAGCATTGCRCAACAAATGACTCTTTSCCACACAACTGTGCACCGGATAATTACACARGTATTGGTACATCCTAMGGKKTATGTAAGATACAYAGGACACATTAAACCAATGGCTTACTGAACACCGTTACAAAATGAGGAGGATTTAATTACCCAAATGCAAGAAGCTGCTTAAAATTTCACCCAGTAATGCTGCCAAGAGTGGGCAACAGCTTGATTACCCGATCACAAACATGTTTGGCGTTAAATGGGCAGGACTTCGAAAACTTTTGGTGAGTGGTCCACATTTCAAAAAGGTTCTACTCAAACCACTACTCTACTCAAAAATCTCCAAAATGTCTTTCTTATTTGTATGTCACTGGCCTTCTTATTCTTATTTTTCCCGAAAAAGATAAAAAAAAACAGGTAGGTATTTACATAATTTAATAATAATTTACATATTAAATAACATAATAATAACTGAGGTAGATCACCTTGACAAACATTGTAGCATAATTTCTGATCTATACTTCCGGTGCATWSCCGAAAAAGGCYAATATATAGTGAAACCACCAACAAATGTCAGAAAAAGCATTACGGGAGCATTCATGCATTCTTTTTTACAATAACATAAAGCATTTCAACTTACTTGTGTATCATTTCGTCGCACCCTTGCGATATATGGGGTATTACTTGTGAAATATCTAAAAATCCGTGCCTTTTCAATACAGTAGTAGCTATAGAAAGCGCAGTACTGTTATTAATTTTAGTGTCATCTGCTGCCGAAGTTTCGTAAAAAGAAGTCGTTCTCATTAGAGCGGATATAATATTTCCAGTGATATTAAGTTCTTCTTTTGAAGCGGACCTGAAAATATCATGAGAATAAGAATTCACTAAAGAAACAGATATCAACACATATAACCTGTAACAGATATATGCAGATATTATAAATATGTCTCTATGGTATATGGTGTAAAAGAATATAAGAAAAAATTCAAGTCGTTACCTTTGCAGGTTTAAGAAAGTATTTTCTCCTACGCTATTTTTTTCTAAATTTGGGGCAAATTTGATTTCATTTGCAGTTTACACAGAACACATTTTTCCTTTGCTGGTAGAAGAATGCAAAATCTAAATAGGCTGTCTTTTCAAGATGAACACTAAACACAAATGACATTTGAAACTATATATTTTCCAAAATTAATATTGTAAACTTGATTATATTGAATATTACCTAAGTAAAACTATTAAATAAATTTTGTACGGAGACTAGAAGTTCAACGTTGCATCTGTAAACATTTGTGTGTACTAAAGGTGTGATAAACGGTTATTTTTATGTAACGGCTTACAACGTTCCAGTTTCTCATTGGTAATAGGTTTCAAAACGCGGTTCCAAAAGAAACATGTTACTTTTTAATTTTTTTATTAAAAATGCAGAATGATGATGATAGTAGAAATAGTGATGATATATAATGGATATCTTTTAAATAATTTAAATAAATATGTCGACCTTACAACGTTTATGACTATTCAAATACTTTCATTTCATCTCTGACTGAATTTATATTTAAACAGACAGCTTGCTTAAATGCAGGTGCACATCCTGCTTCAAACGTTTGTTATTTTAAATTTCAACTGTGATGGAATTTGTCTTGGACTCTTAGTTTGCTCATAGCTCATATGCAAGTGCACATTCTGCTTAGTTTGCTGGTAATGGGCATATAACTCCCGAGATAAGTTTCTTGAGAAAAATCCTTTTTTTAAAGATTTATTACAGAATGTCAGAAAACTAAATACCTACTTATAGACTAAAAATGCTGAGTTATATTATCGCAGCAACTAAACAAATTTTTGCTGGTTCCTGGGGAACTGAACAGTAATTCTTATAAACGAAAATTGATACACAATCAACACAACTGGATATAGAAACAGTGATGATAAAAGTCGAGAGCGCTCGACGATGCCGCATAGGTTCTGTGCGGACGCAAACCACTTTTTCAGGTTTATGAGATGGTTCCAAAAAAACAGACATTCAGAAATCGCTTTCATACGTCAATTTATTTGTAGAAGAGGAAACATTGTAGACTTGTTTTATATTAAATATTTAAACATTTCAGATTTAATGTAAATTTATTTACACACCACATCCAAAAATTAATTACGACAATCAACTTCATTTTTCAAATTTAATACTTTTTTATTTCAATATTGAATTCTGCATTAATGTCTAAGTGAGATTCAGGTACCATGTCTTAAACCGAAACTTTATAGGACTCGAGGAATTTACAAAGCAAAAAAAAGTATCAATTTATTTATTATAAAAAGGTATTTTTCTTGATCCCCTAGTGGAAAGTACACAGTTTTGCCACAGTTTTCGAAAGCAAAAGAATCACCCAATACACATTGCAATGACATGACAATGACAATTTAGTTTTTCGCCCATTGTTCAATTAAATTGTCTTAATCTCGGGTGGATAGTAGTAACTTTCGCCACGCACACTGAGAGCTTGAGTGTTTGACACTGACTGTCTTGACAACATTTTCAGAGGCGTTATTTTCAAAACGTTATACTTTTCCCGGCTAGTTTTCACCGAGGATCAAGAAAAGTAGTATACGGTACGCGAGACGAAAGTCGCAGGCCTGCCACTGCGCGCATGACGCCCTCGGCTTTGCCTCGAATGTCAACTTCAAGCTCGTTATACTACGTTACGTACCTTAAACTAAAAAAATAACAAGATGTCTTAAAAAATAGTCGTATCCAGCAAACAATAGATACGTAAGTATAGTTTGATCAACTCTTCTTCAACGTTACGTCACGTATAACGCGCTTTGTCCGATAATGAGTCGTAGCTAATTCATGGCTAATTCGGCTTGTTTGATCAGTGCGAAACACCACGGGAACGTCGGAAGTGTTTATGTGTTTATTGTCATTTGACATTTTATTAACTCTTCAAGCCTAATTAAAAACATACAGAAGTGGTTTATAAAACAAAACTGCCAAAATGTTGATACAATATGAGACGAAGGACTACTTTATTCAAGTATAAAAAGTATTTTAAAGAAATAAAATAATATGTAGCCTTTAATGCATTGTTGCTGGATTGATATGTTAATATAGGAGTCCTTAGCCATAGCGCGCTGAACTGTCAACAACAATCACCTGTACATAGAGAGAGACAGAGAGTATACACATACGATTAAATCATAGACGTACCTCATTTGCTGCCTGACGTCACGTTTTGTGACGTAACGTTGAAGAAGAGTTGATCAGACTATACGTACAATTCGATTGCGTACGTCAGTTTATTTCTGATATGGCCTTTTTGGGCTTTTGCGCTTTTCGAAATAGTGAAGTTAGAAGAACGATAAAAATTACATATGGGACATACTTTTGACATCAAAAGGTGGTGCCTAAATTTGGACGTTCTGCTCCAGATGAAACTGACACTTTCCCAAGCATACGAGAAGCTGCTTGATGAGAGTGGATAATAAGGAGATTACACAGGCACTAACTTGTTTGGAGTTAACCATTCTGGATTAGGTACCAATTCGAGGTTATGAGAACAGGTTGACATTTCGAAAGTACGTTCCGCAGTCAACAAATCTTATTGAATTTACCATTTATCCTTGTCCATCTTATTGTCACTCTGTATAATTCCATGGTTACCGGAGTTTTAAATAATTACGAAGCAACAGGTATTTGCGCAATGTTAATT